CAACTTGCAAGAAGATGTTGATAATTCAAATTCCACCAAAATAGTCACTAAGGATGTTCATTCGACTCCAACAGTTGCCAAAGATAATTGTTCATCATTAATGGTTCAGCCCAAGGTAGCCCCATCGTTGTCAGAAGTAAAGTTGCTGTTATTTAGTTATCGCCTATGTCTTTGGACTCAACGTTTTTGATTGATCGAAATTATGTAGTGCGCAGTTTAGATGGTTTGTCTTTGGATGATGAGAAAGGATTGTAGAGGTTAGCAGAGCCACCTGATAAGGGATATGTTTCAGATACAGAGGCTTCTACAGAATGTATTGACGTTGGTTCACAAAGTTTGGATTAGGAAGCTAATAGAGATAGTAATTTGCAAGGGGTTTCTAATTATAATGGTGTTCTGACAAGATCCAAATCTAGAGGTTTAGTTGGTTCATCCTCTCATTTAGATGATTAATTTATTATCATGGAATATTATAGGGACAAGGAAAGATGCTACTAGAAGGCGTCTTAAGAAGCTCATTAGTCTAAAGGATGCTTGCTCAGTTTCCATTTTGGAGCCAAAACATGATCCTTCCAAACTTCTAGGTCTATCTTCATCTTTGAATCTAAATTTCTATGTTGCTAATCCTTATGTAGATAAAAATTTATGGATGCTGTGGGATCATAGAGTAAGTGTTAAGGTTATAGAGACTTTTGAGCAATCATTAACAGTGGAAGTTTCTTTTTATGGGATCTAAGCCTTTTATGTAGTCTTTGATTTATGCATGTTGTGATTATGTGTTAAGGAGGCCTCCGTGGGATCATCTTCTTAGTTTGAATATATCAACTTAACCTTGGATGGTAATTGGAGATTTTAATGCCTTTCTTAGTTCTTTAGAGAGGCTAGGAGGTTCTACTCCTAACTTTCTTTCAATTGATGAGTTTGGAAATTTTATTCAGACATCTGGTTTGTTAGATTGTGGTTTTTCTGGGAGCAATTATACATGGTGTAATAATTGTCAGGGAGTTACAAGAATGTGGCAATGTTTGGATAGAGCCCTAGTAAATGCTGCTTGGAATTTCAAGTTTGATAGTACAGAGGTGGATCATGTGGCAAGAGGAAAGTCAGATCATTGTCCTTTGCATGTAAAGTTTTTTGAACAACAAAGTCATCCTAGAGTCTCGTACTTTAATTTTTTGGATATGTGGATGGAGCATCCATCTTTCTTGCATTTGGTAAGAGCTAAATGGGGTGGACATTATTCTGATAATCCAATTCATAATGTTTTCTTAAAGCTAAAGTACTTAAAAGTTCATCTCAAGACTTGGAATAAGGAAGTTTTTGGGAATATTTTTGAAAGAATTAAGAGGCAAGAGGAGTTGTTGTTATTAGCTGAAAGGAAGATGGATCAATTTCCTTCAGAGTTACATAATTAGGCTCTTGAGCAAGCAAAAAACCAATAGGATGAGACACTTAGGTTGGAGGAAATTAAGTGGGCAATGGATGGTGAGAAGAATACAAGGTTATATCATGCTTTGGTAAAGGGTAAAGCTATAAGAAATAGAATAAGGAAAATCCAAGATGATGATGGACATTGGTTGGACGAAGAGACTCAGATGTCAGCTTGTGTAGAAACTTTTTTCTCTAACCTTTATTCTTCTGAAACTCATATATTGCAGGAGGATTTATTCAAGATTATTCCACAGTCTGTCTCTACTGATGATAATGAAATGCTGACTAAACAGGCATCAATGGAGGAGGTCAAAGATGTAGTTTTTTCTATGCCTGTGGAAAGTGCACCAAGAGTTGATGGTTTCTCAGGGAAGTTTTTCCAATTTTCTTGGGAAATAACTAAGCATGATGTGTTGCTGGTGGTTAATTTCTTTCTGAATGGTGGAGTTATTCCAAGGTCTATAAATTCAACTTTGCTGTCTCTTATTCCTAAGAAGTCAATTCCTACACATTTTTCAGAATTTCGACCTATAAGTCTTTGCAATTTTTTATACAAGATATTCACTAAAGTGTTAGCTACCAGATTGGGAACTTATTGCCTTCTTTGATCTCACAGGAACAATATGGTTTTGTATCAAACAGAAACACAGGGGACTGTATCACTTTTGCACAATTTATGGCTAGTGAACTAGACAGGAAAATGGAGGGAGGTAATTTAATTCTGAAACTAGACATGATGAAAGCTTTTGAAAGATTTTAGTGGCATTTTTTGAGGAGAACTTTGGAGTCTTTTGGATTTTCATATTTGTTTATTTCAATTATTACTAATTGTCTAAGCAATCAGCACTGTTCGTTGTTTCTAAATGGTCAGAGACATGGGTTTTTCCCTATTTCTAGAGGATTGAGACAAGGGGATCCTTTATCCCCTAGTCTCTTTATTCTAGTAGAGGAGGTACTTAGCAAAGGATTAAGGGATTTATGTCTTAGAGGTTTGGTCAAGAATTTCCATTATGTGCGAGGGTCTTTACATTTGAGTCACCTATTGTTTGCTGATGACACACTAGTGTTTTTGAGAGGGGATAAGAGGTATGTGGTTAATTTGCTTGCTTTTCTTTCTAAATATGAGCTTGCTTTAGGATAGAAAGTTAATATTCAAAAGAGCTCAATGTTTTGTTCCTCTAAAATTACACCTGCTAGAAGACATATGCTCAATCATGTTGTTAAGATTCCTATCAAAAGATGCCCTTTTAGGTATTTGGGATGTCCTATTATTAACTATAGAACGAGATTAATTTATTTTGAGGATGTTCTATAGAAATTTAGGTCTAAACTGGAGGGGAGGTATTCCAAGCTTTTATCTAATATGGGCAGAGTTGCGTTGGTGCAGTCAGTGTTGAGTGTCGTTCTGGTGCATTTTTTGTCTTGTTTGAATATTCCCAATGGTATTATTACAAGGATGCATTCTATAATGGCAGGTTTTATTTGGTCCAATAAGCCAAAAATCAGAAAAAGGCATCTGTGTTCTTGGAAGGAGATAACTAATCCCAAGAAAAAGGGTGGTTTAGGATTGAGGAGGTTGAAGATATTGCTGGACCTTTTAGAATAAAGCAGATGTGGAATTTATATAATGAGTCGTCTCTTTGGTCTAAGGTTTTTTCTAGCAAGTATCTTGGGAATCAACATTTGCTCAAATTTAGAAGACCATCTAGGTCTAAGCTATATAAGTCTTTAGCACCGTGGTTTGAGCTGGTGGTTTCTAATTCGCAAATGATTGTAGGTAATGGTGTGGAAGTTGATTTTTGGCATGATAATTGGTTAGGTAATGGTCCATTGATTTTGAGAATGGATGTCTCTCCTAATGTCTTCCCAAAGCTTTCATCATTGCTTTTAAATGGACAATGGAATTTGGATGTGGTTGTTGAATGGCTTACTGATCAAATGAAGAATGAAATATTATCCTCAGGTATTTTTCTTACTCACATGCAAGATTCCTTTGTTTGGAAACCAATAGCTTTAGGTTGTTTTTTCATTAAGACAGCTTAAGAGTTGATTAGGGTGAAAAAGTTAGTTTTTGTTAAAGCCTCTATGATATGGAAGCAACAAATTTCTCCAAGTGCTCAGTTACATGGCTGAAAAATCTATAAAGATGCTTTGCCTTTGGATTCAAGATTTCAGAAATTGGTGGTCTCTTTGGCGAGTAGGTGTGCATTATGTGAAAAGGGAATAGAGACTCTAGCTCATCTTTTTATTTCTTCTGAATTTGCACAGTCTATGTGGGTTATTTTCTATACCACGATGGGTTTTCAACTTATTCTGAATGAGGATCCTATGACCAGATTTTTAAGAATTAAGCTTTCTTTAAGTCATATTCTTATTCGAGGTACAATGTTGTTGATATTTTGGCAACTATGGAGGGAGAGGTGCAGACGTGTATTTGAAGGAGTTAAGCAGACTCCTAAATGTGTGGCTAGCATAATTATGCAGATTCTAAGGTATCAGAGTTATGTAGTTAGACCAAGGGCAGCAGATAGTGGACAAGGCAGAGAATTGCTGCATTTTCTTAACATAAGATCACCCAACTTTCAAGTTAAAGCTCCCTGGGTTAAATGGTTGTCTCCTTCGTATCAGGTATTGAAGTTGAACTCTGATGGGGCTTCGAAAGGAAATCAAGGATTGTCTGGTGGAGGTTTTGTATTGCGTAATGGCAGTGGTCAGCTAATACTTGCTTCTTTGAATTTTTATGGAGTCTGCTCTAACATGGAAGCTGAGATTCGTGCACTGTAGGATGGTCTGAAATTATTTATGAAATGTGGTCTACATGATTATCATCTATTGATTGAGACAGATTCCAAGGTTCTAGTGGATATGGTCAATGGGAAGGTGCAGTTCAACTGGAAGTATATGCAATTGTTTTATCAGATTTTTNGTGGTCTACATGATTATCATCTATTGATTGAGACAGATTCCAAGGTTCTAGTGGATATAGTCAATGGGAAGGTGCAGTTCAACTGGAAGTATATGCAATTGTTTTATCAGATTTTTGATTTATTGAGCAGCTTGAATTTTGAAATTTCTTATAATTATCGCCAAGCAAACATAGTTGCTGATTTTTTGGCTAATAAAGGTGTTACGGATAAGGTTTATGTTGAGTTTAATTCTTCTGATATTCTTCCCGCAGCAGCTAGACTCCTTCTTTTGCAAGATGCTCGACGGTTAACAGTCCTACACGAGAAGATTTTATATGTCTCTCAGAAGTTCCCACCATGAGTTCAAGGATTTTCAGAGATAATGCGGGAAGGGATTTCCACACGTTCACAGACTTGATGAAGCAGCTGGACTCCAATGGCCAGTTGGTTTTTATTTCAGTTGAGAGGCCTGCTTTATTGCACCTCTTCTATTGTATTCACAATGGGACACCTTCTCATTTCCTACCAAATCCAATGCATTTCAGTGCCAGCACAGAGTCCAGAATCAGTTGGACTATTGCACCAGTACTCTGTAGTCAACAATCTCTTTCAGTTGGCTTCTCTTATCATCACAGGTCTATTTTTTCGGCTTTTGAAGCTGAAAGTTCTTATCTTCACATGGAAACAATCTCGGTTTTCTTGGGTTTTTTGTTCTTATCTTTCCAGGCTAGTTACTTTGACTTATCAACTTCAGAGGGCTCTCAATGTACTGGATTATCCTTATCTGCAAAGGTTTTCTTTGGCAACAGTTCATTAAATTTATTTTTTCTCTTTATTTCAAAATTACATTATGAGTTGCATTCATTTTATTTTATTTTAATTTCACTCATAATGTAATTAGACATATTTCGAGGTAAGGTACATATGTCCCCCTCGCTAGGTGTAATTTATTTTGGATCATTAATAAAATTCCCTTGTACAGTAGAGGTTCTATAAAAAAAAAAGAGAAAAATAAAAAAAAATTAGGAGTTTGAGCGAAAAATAATACTATAAAATCACTATCTGTGAATTGAGTATCACTATAGGGTCACACTATTAATCCACCAAATATGAAGGGAACAATCATAGTGTTTAAGATGTATTTTTTTTTTGGAAATAACTCTTTCAATTGGCATGTTTATGGGTATGTGTTGCTTCCTTTATACATGGGTATTGATGTGTTGGTTTTATTAAGTCATTCTATAAATTAACTTTTTTTGTTTTTAACAATTTGACATCAGTCAAATTGAAGGAACACTATGGTGTCACACTTTCTATGTGAAAGGGACAACCACAGTGTTTGAGTTGCAATTTTTTTTTTTTTTTTAACTTTGGAGTCACACTATCTATCCACTATATATGAAGTCACTTTTATAGTCACACTTCAACAAACACTTTGTTTTCATATAGTGCTGTTTTGCTTGAGTAACCATTTGTTGCCACAATTCTTCCTTATTTTAGAATATGAATTTACTAGGCATTGACCGTGCTTGAAGGTACTATACATACAAAAAAAAATTGTTATCTAATTTTACAACAAAAGGCAAAATAAAAGTCTGCCACAAAAAACCAACTGAATCAAATCTTAATTTGTAAAAATTTGTGGACTATTTTCATATTGCCCCAATTCCTGTCGTAGCCATAGTGAAACCAAAAACCGTATTATCGTTGAATAAATTAAACTTTACAACAAACTACATAATACCAAACTTAATGGGGTAAACTACATGTCTATCACTTAGAAAAATTAGCACCAAATAACACAAGCATTCACAATGATGGAGTTTGAAGTATAATTTAATTCGAGGATTAATTACCAAATGAAATATTGTTGCAACCAATATTGAGAAAATCCATACACTCAAATAACCCATCAATGTTTACTATTTTTAACTAACCTGAAATCAACAAAACAAAAATAGAAAAGGTTAAGAAACAATAATTAGTAACAAAACCCTAGATGCATACCCACAAAGGTGAGAGTTCTAACCATAAACAGGCCACTAATGAGAGCACATCAATTTAGAATGAAGACAAATCAGCCAAACAAAGCCAATAAACCATTTCAATTTCAATTCTGATTCAGCATTTTAAAGGCTGTCATTTTGTAATAAAAAAACAAAATAAAGAAAGACTACTTCTAAAGCTTTCCTAAAATTATGAGGTCTGCCCATGTATAGATTTCAAATGGAATGAAATGTACAAACAGATCACATCAAGACGATGAACCTAAAATCAAGAATCTCCTTTAAACATCGCTCAATTTCCACCACCACCATGTGTGACGCCCCTAAAATCGAGGGTTCTTTGTCAACCCGTTGATCACTTATCAACCCCATGGAAGTACTTGTGAATGTCGCATAACCTGATACCACGTTATAAAATCCCCTTCACCGAGATCATAACCAACACAAAGTTTGGATGGATAGTCTTCCTTGTACCGGACACTTCTAAATGTATAACCTGTATACATTTCAATCACTTGACCATTACAAGGTCCAATATACATCAATTTATCCTTAATATTACTCAATCGACATCTTTTGAACAAAAAGGGTCAAGGTCCAAAAGCTTGACAAAGTTATTTTGAATTTTTGAAAATTTTGGAGGAGCTACCGGTAGCTCATGTACGTGTTACCGAAAGCTGAGCCCTCTACCAGCAAGCTATTGGTAGCTGTGAATCAAGCTACTAGTAGCTGAGCCCACTATCCACGAGCTACTAGTAGCTATGAAATGAGATATCAGTAGCTACCCACTGCAATTGTCCTACTGGTAGCTAATCAACATGATATCTGTAGTTGGGCCCAATGTTCCCTCAATTCAATCCCTTTTTAATTTTAACTCACCCAATCTTATACAATATTTACCCAAACTCATATAACATCCAATTTTATACAAAATATAGTCCATATGAGTTCATTATACAATCCTTTATACAACATCACAAGTCCAAAACCAATTACACGATTTATTTACAAAAATGCAACTTAAAGCCACATTCTGGCTTCTTCTCAACACAGAACCATGTGAGAGCCATCCATCGACGCTTGTTCGGCACCTGAAATGTTATTCCCATAATGAGTGAGTCACGTTTAATAGGGTATCTCCTAAATAGGCTAATTCTCAAACCAAATGCATATAAAATGTTCAGATGCAATTCAACAATCAACTTACATCCATTCAAGAACATACAATTTAATGATGAATGACACAATGCTATCCCATGTTATGAGATGAGACTCACATATGTAACTCAACCCCAGCCTTCAACAGCTCCCATAACACATGCAATACCATGCGTATGAATATAGACATTCCAAGCCCCATGTTACTAATGCTACACATTCAATGACCATTTATAAATCTCGGGCCTTTCTTGGGGTGGGTATTCATGGACTTCCACAAATCGGGCACCCAACAGACAATATCTATGGACTTCCACCAACGGCTTCACGTATGCCGACACACTTTATGGACTCAATACCAACAGAGTGCGTATCCAAATCACCGGATCTTGCACCCGAGGGATAATCTAGCCTTTTTTGTTAACCCTGACCCTATATTCAATGTAAACCCGTGTGACTCAGTCGAATCTTGACCCATCTTTTTGGAGCCCACACATCATTCACCAAGAATGATGTTTGATCAAAATCATGCACACACCTACACCCATGCCAATTGCCCACAAATGTAATACTACCCGTGCATATAAAAATATAATGAGTAATTTTATTTCATATCATTATGCAATCAAGTTTTCAATTACAATTACAACATCATGTTCAACATGTCATGAACACAACATGAACAATTCCAAATCCTCAACGTCACTCATGTCATAAAGCATATAATTACATTACAACGTCTTCACAAGACATGTTATGTTAATTTCATTCAAGGCATTTTATCAAACACCCAAATGACACAAAATCATATAAACACACAACATGCCCAATTCATCACATATCTCATAAAATTACCAAATAAGCAATTTCAACCAACCCAATTCACAAGAATTGATTTAATACATTCCCATTTTCGTACTCTAGTTACACTAGCAATACACTTAGACAAGACATTTCATCTCTAAACATACTACCCATTTCATACACAAACCCTAGGTTGAAAATAAACCTAATTACAAAAAAATAAAATAAACCTAACTAGAACCCTACCTCTTGAAGCGTGATACTAGTGGTAGAAACTCTCAATAACCCAAAATCAAGCTTCAAGCCTTGATTTTCAAAAATTTCGTCTTTGAGACTTTGGCAAAATCTCCGATTTTGGGTACGTAGACGTAGCTCTCGTCACGTAGATCAACTTTTGTTCTTGTCTTGAAACATTTTAACGAGAGGTTGGCCCTAGATCGTAGAGAGAAGCTTGAAGAAATTCACATTTCTCTCTCCCAAAAATCTAGTGTAAAATGGGAAGAAAATTTGATTTTCTCCTGTGAGACCCAATCACGCATTGCATGCATATTAATATAATTTTGTGGGCTAAATTGTAATTATATAAAATTATTAAATGGGTTAATTAAATTAAATCTTTCATAAGCATGATGTGAGTGAGCATACATTGGTTATGTGGACCCCATTAGTGATATATTAGTGAGATCCATTTATCGAAATTTCATGTATGAAAATACTAGTGGGTCAATTTCAAAATTATTTAAAAACTTGAGGGGAGGTAAGCATAATTATTCAATTTAATGACTCACCTTTACATGAGTTAGCTTAAAAAATAAAAAATAAAAAAATGTGCCGTGAGTGTGTGCCGTGTGTGTGTGTTTAAAGGTGTAAAGTGTGTGTGTTAAGTAAAATATAAAAGGGGTGTGTGTGTGTGTGTTTAATAGAAAACAAAGTGTGTGTGTATGTGCTGGAAACTGAGAGTGAGGTGAGCAAGAGAGAAAGTGGAAAAAAGACAGAGAAAAAGAAAGAAAAAAAATGTGTGTTCTTGATGCCATGTGTAAGGAGGGGTAGAAAGAGAGTGAAATCAAGTTTTTGGTAGGTATTTTTAGTCCAAACCGAGAGAGGGAAAAGAAGGTATATGGAATTAAGNATGTGTGTTCTTGATGCCATGAGTAAGGAGGGGTAGAAAGAGAGTGAAATCAAGTTCTTGGTAGGTATTTTTAGTCCAAACCGAGAGAGGGAAAAGAAGGTATATGGAATTAAGTTTAAGCATGAGTTGTGAATAATTTAGTATGTACATATTTGCATATGTGTGGGCTGTTTTAGCATGTTTTAATTAGTAGGTTGTTTGACTTTAAATACATAAGCTGTTTTATTTTAATGGGTTATTTTAATTCAAATTTCATGGGCTGATTTATTTAATGTCAAAACAGATTTTGTATGGGTGAAATTAAGTATATTTAGCATAATTAACGGGTTGTTTAAAAATAGGTTTCAAATGGGTATCAAACTAAAGATGAGAAAAATGTGAAAAATGACTATTTGAGATGTTCGGTAAATTTTTCAAGAGTTAGGTTGAAAACAAAAATTATGGGAATGAAATGGGTGGTTTAAAGGCCCAATTAGGGGTTGTTTTGCATTGATGTGTATGTGAATTTAAGTGTGACGATTTTAAATAAAAAGTGCGATAGAAGTGGGAAACGGGTGTTAGTAACGCTAAAATCCTGATTTCTAAATGTTATTATCATATGTGTGAATTTTAATCCAAATGACCTGAAATTTCGCATACAAAATTTTTAAATGATGCTTGATGTGATAATGTGACTTTCGAATGCAAATGAGTATAATATCTGGTGCGAAATATGTGAAAATGGGCCCCCGGTCACTGTGTTTGACCTACTTAATCCTAATTGTGATTAATGTGAGTAGTTTTGCGAATTTGAGGAGGAAATGTGATCCCTAGAACAA